CAGACAGACACCCGCCACTGGGCTGCACTGATACCCCTCAGCCACAGACACTGGGGGGAGCCCTGCCCTGATACCCCTCCACAGACAGACACCCGCCACTGGGCTGCACTGATACCCCTTTCCCCCCAGACATCCGGGGGGGGGCTGCACTGATACCCCTCCGCCTAGACACCCCATCACTGGCTTTGGGGGGGGCTGTACCCATACCTCTCTGCCACGAGGGTGACCAGACATCCCGCTAAAATTGGGACTGTCCCGCTATCTAGGCATTTGTCCCGATATTTCGCGGTACTCCGCTTTTTTTTCTCTGCCGGTGACCCCCCAACGCCCACGTGTCCCGATATTTTCTTCCTCTCATCTGGTCACCCTATCGGCCACAGACATCCCACTCATCCTGGGGGGGCTGCACCGGGATCCCTCTGCCAAACACCCCCTTCCCCACTCAGCCAAGGGGCTGCACCAAGGACCATCAGCCATAAACACCCTCTTCTGGCCAGGGGTCTGCACAGGGATCCCTCCTCCACAGACATCCCCCCATTGTCCAGGGAGTGGGGGGGTGGGGGACTGCACTGGGACCCCTCCACAACAGGCACCCTCTCTCTGGCTGGGGGGCAGTACACTACCCCCCCAACAGACACCTCCCTGCCAGTTGGGAAGCAGCAGCACTGAGACCCTTTACCAGCACGGAACCCTCCTACACACACAAATAGTCAGCAGGAAGCAGCATTGAAACCTGTTAAAAGGGCTCCTCCCTTAGGAATTCCCCTAATAGCCAGGGGAAAAAGCAGTTCTGGAGCACCCTCCCACCCAGACACTTCTCCATGGTCATACCCTAAGAAAGGTCAAGCAACAGCCCCTGGAATCCCCCAACATGAGGAATCCTTGTAGGGTTCTCCCCAACCAGGAAGAGAGCAACAGGGGCCTCTCCCCATGAGACTTCCCCACTGCCCCCATCAGGGATACAGCAGCAGCACAGGGAACATCCACAGGGGTCTCTCTCCTGGGGGATCCCCCACCATCTTAACCAGTGCTGTGGAACAGTGCCAGATCATTCTACACTGTCATTGTTGCAACCAGGCACACACTGTTTATCCACATGCCCATTCTGCTTTGCATTACTGAGCTGTTTGCAGAGCACTCGGTAAACGTTAAGTGCCATATAAATGCTCCCTATTATTAATTATGTATTTGCATTGGGTAAACAATGTCCTCTCACTGCCTATTATGCTCCATCTTAATATTTTACAGAAAACCATCGCTTCAACCAAATATTCTTTATTCGTGTACTATTAGTTCCTGCATTATTTTTATTGGATTTATATGGCACATAACTTGCAATGCAAATTCATGTGCCTTTTGTTTGTTTCTCTGTAGTAGTATATTACTTTCTGGTTCTGTTACTATAGGGGCCTTATCCTGCTAGTTCATAGTCACATGGGCCCAAATCCTCAGATTTACACATGTATTCAACTTTAAGCACCTGAGTTGTTCCACTGGTCCCAAGTGCCAAAGTGTGTGAAGGGTGGGATCTTAAGGAGTCCCATTGATGGGCTAAGCAACTTGCAGAATTAGGTTTGAAAGGGACTGGGGAGGTGAGGGTGGAGGGGAATTCATTTTCATTGATAACTGTCAATATGTTAGGCCTGGATCCTGCAAGCTGCTCCATGCAAATGGACCCCTGTGCCTGCATGAAGCCTCACTGAAGTTAACGGGGCTTCACATGCATACAGGTCCCCCATGCAGATTAGTTTGCAGGATCAGGGTCTGACTTTGGAAATTATTTTTCATATACAGAGAACATGTGCCTGAAGACTTGGTGAGAGGCACACATTTGATAAAGATGACACACTCTGTAAATAAGAATGAACAGACATTTCTCCAAAGATGATCCAGTAGGAAACCTGTCAAATGTGGAAGAGTGTATTCTGTTTGTTCTTTAATGATAGAGTGTGGGCTGATTCTGAACCACAGCAGCTGATGATAAAACTCTCATTAATTCTAATGAACCAGGAGTGGGCTCATTGGGCCTGCTTTTCCACTGCCTTGCACCTTGTGGAATCATTGACAGCCATGCAAAGTGGGTGAAAATCCTGCAAACACATCTGAGTAATTTTACCATGTGAGTTGTCCCAATGGATACAGTGGAATTACTCACATGAGTAAAGATATTCATGTTCAAGTTTGCAGGATCAGGCCCTGGGTTTGGGACTGTTTTATCATCACTCTACACAGATGTGAGTAACTACATAAAGGGTGCAGAGTAGCAGTCGTGTTAGTCTGTATCCGCAAAAA